CCTGTGCTCCCTGCTGCTTCCCAGGGGGAATGCCAGCACCCGGCTCACCCCGCTCTGCTCCGTGGATACTTGGACCCAAAGAGAAATGGTGCTTTTCCTTCCATGGAGGGAGGTTGGTGAGGCCGTGCTGGGAAGGGGAATGTTCCTTCCCGGGGCTGCACGGATCCCACTCCATGCTCGGGGTTGCTGGAAGCGGTACCAGGGGGTTCTCCAGCCTTGTGCCCCCCTCGTGTGGGGCCACTCGTGGCCCCATCGCCCCAGCAGTGCCAGCGCAGGCCCCCACACTGCTCCTTTTCCCCCTTATCCTCATTCCTCAGCCCAGGAGCACTGGGATGGGGAGGCTGGAGTGGAGCTGGGGGTCACCCCCTTCCCTCTGCCCCACATTCCGGGGCTCTCCTGCAGCACCTTCCTTGTTTTAGAGGAAGAGGAGGCAGCAGGGCAGGATGTGACCCCTCTGGCTGCTTATCCCGAGGGGTGCTCTCCCTTATCCCCCAAGCACCCTTGCAGGGGTGCTGGGGACACAATGAGGGGGGGTTCCCTATGCTCGAGGGGGCTGCACCTCTCCAGGCTGTGAGGGATCCCAAGGGAAGCACCCAAGAAGGGTTGGGCTGAGCTGAGGAGACACGGGGCGACTTCCAGGGCTGGTGGCACCCTCTGAACTGTTGCTGGACAAGCAGAAAACCTGCCTCTGGAGGTCTTTTTAAGTTGAAATGACACCCAAACCCCATGAAACCCCATCTTGGGAGGTGCCAGGAGAGTTCTGGTTGGTTTTTCTTTTCTACTTAATGCCACATTTTTAGGTTTCTTTCCAAATAGTGGAGGGGTGGGGGGGGAAGAACCCAAGTGCAGAGCAAAAACCCCTGTTAAGCACCCAGTGAGGCACTGCCCCTCCTGCTCGCAGTGACTAGAGATTTGTTTTGTCTTTCTGATAGGTTGGAAATTGTGTAATAAACTTGGATGACGTTGTCAATCTTTTAGATGGTGCTGGAGGGCTCTTCTCTTGGTGTCTATCATGGAATCATGGAATGGTTTGGGTTGGAAAGGACCTTAAGATATCTAATTCCAACCCCCTGCCACGGGCAGGGACACCTCACACTAGAGCAGGTTGCTCCAAGCCCCTGTGTCCAACCTGCCCTTGAACACTGCCAGGGATGGGGCCGCCACAGATTCT